GTCCAATTTAAAGATTCTTAGTATCATTAGATGCGTCAAGTCTTTCTCTGTCGATTGGTACAAAAGCTGTTTCAATTAGACAGCCCAACGCCAAGATATTTGAGCTCAAAGTTAGATTACCAATGGCAAAAGGGGTGGGGCGCGTATCGAATGTCCTACAATCTCAAACGATCATATAGTGGCATATTGTAGTCTCATCTAGGTCCTGGGAACTAAGTTAAGGGCAGACCAGGCAATGGCGGAAGGCTTGCCCTGCTCTGAACCACCTGGCCTAGTCTGACATTGACTGTAGAATAGCCTTGAATCTGGTACGTGGCAAGGTCTCATTGTCTCACCGTGATCACAAGATATATAGTAGCCTTGTTGAAGTTTCTCAAGTAAAATTCCAACTGATTATCCAATTCTAGGATCTATGTGACATTGAATGCCCGGCCGGCTCTCATTGCTTCTTGCGCTGCGCTCAATGATCAAATGTCCCACAATCCTTTAGAAACACTTAAAGGTACAGTAAAGTTCCAATATCTAGATTCCGATATTCTAATATCCTTACAGTGGGCTTGTTTACTAAGACTGTTTACTGTTTTCTGTTTTCTGTTTACTGTTTTCTTTTCTCGATTTCAACGAAAATTCTTTGAAATCACTGAAAGCTTTACTGTTTTTAAGCATTCTTTTCATTTCATTCATTTCATTCATTTCATTACCTTCAACTTTTGCAGAATATTTCGAATCGAGGTCAAACATTTCACGTTTCTTTGAAAATCTCGATGCTTAATCACTGCTCGTATCATTTCCGGATCGCCGTGTGAAATCGCCTCGTGACTCACCGACCACATGCCTCAAATCGAGATATTGATTGAAGATTTTTAGAAAAAATACGGCGACAAGTGTTTTTTTTTCTAATTCAGCTATCTTCAGAACTTTTTTATCTTCAGAACATAAAAAAACCTTTATTCTGTGCATCGGCGTCGGCTCCTCTCCTCAACAACTCCTTTGCGCAATCCTTGTGCGCCAACGTGATCGCCAACATTAACGGAGTTCTGCCCCGGCAATCCTGCTTCTCCAGATCGATCTGGAAATCAATTTCACTCGATTTTCATCATTTATCAGTAAAAAATTGACAATATTAGGGCTTTTTCATTGCATTTTATGAAGTTTGCAGTTTTAAAGCTTCAAAAACAAGCACAAACATTTAAATTTGATTGACTAAAGATTGACTGACTTCTTTTTGATATCTTTTCTTGATCAAGATCAGATTTTGAAGGTTTTAAGCTCATTAGAACAATAAAGCCATTCAGTTTTTATAAAATTTGAAAACCTCAGCATCTTCCTCCAACAAACTCTTCAATTCATTCAAATTGTTCGTGAAAATTGCCCAATGAAGTGGAAATTCCAATTGTAATGGAGATTTTAACATCTAAATCATCTAAATTATCAAATAAATATTATAAATTAAAAATAAAGTCGATAAGGGCTCAAGAGTTATTGGAATTATTGGTAGAAAGGAAATTATTGGTCAGCTGTGGGCGGGACTACGTGGGACAACAATTGACACAAGGGAAATGGCGAAGAATCGCAGATTTGTGAAGAATCAGTTCAATTCAGCTAAAGATATAAGAGCTTCAGAAAAAATAAGATTAAAGATTTAGTTAATTGATTTAGTATATATATAGATACTTTATTCAGGACCTGAGATAAAGTGCGCTAGATTTAAGATTAAAACACATGAATTCATACACATAACACGAGAAGGGCCGATAAAAAGAAACACGATATAATATATGTAAAATGTGGGTAGCACAGATAACGTCAAGGATCCACTAGAGCTTCAAGATCAAGATCATCTACAGATAATTTAACGGTTTCGAGACTATTGGACTCTCTCAAAACTCTGGGGAGTCTATTCCAAATCCAATTCAGTTCTTATTGGAAAAGAGTTATAAACAAACTTATTGGAGGTGAGTGGAATTTCTAAAGCCAAGAATTTCTAACGAAAGAACCTCTCCTTGAACTAACCATGGGATTAACTTTGAATAAATCTCGAAAAAGAGGGATAGGTTGCCTGCCCTTTACAATTTTGAAACATTCTATTAAATCCGTGACCAAGCGGCGGTGTCTAAGAGATTTAAGATCAAAAATTTTGAGTCTATCTGTATAACTAAAGTATGCAAATTTGGAAAAATCTATTTTCCATAGAGCTATCTTATTAGGTTGATGCAAAAGTCTTTTTCATTTTTTTCGTACTTCTTTTGAAAAATAACAAAGTCATCAATTAACCTATGGTTTGCTCTAAATGAAAAGTGTTTATTGTCGAATTTCCCATCTTTTTAAGTCAATTTGGGTTCACTTTCAAGCAAATTCGAGAGTGAAAACGGGTTTTTCATAAAAATCTATAAAAACCTCTATAAAGAAATTGGCTGAATCAATTTCTCTGAAAATCTGAAAAAATATTTAACTTTTTGTGCTCTATCTTTTATTTATTAACATCAAGATTGGTTTCCTTAGCTAAAGCGTCTAAAATGCATCATCGAGCCGTCGCCTTTTTTGACTACCCGATTTCAGGCTCTCAAAAAAATCTAGACATAAGACATTTTAAACGCGTTTTAATGTCATTTTGCAGAAAAATAATTGGCCTTTCGATTGCAATAAACCGTTGTTCAATTGGTGCATTTGTTACTTTTTAACGGAAGTACGAAAAAAATGAAAAAGACTTTTGCATCAACCTAATAGTATATCACTGCTGGGTTTTTTTCTAGGCGAGAGATATCAACTTGTGTTTGTGGAGACCAAATTATAGATGCATACTCTAGAATGGGTCTAACGTAAGTGATGAAACACTTTCTGTAAGTAAGTAAGCTAAAAAAAGCTTAGGAAATTCAATTATCGAGAAATCAGTAGACAGAAACGACAGATAACCAATAAAATGCCAAAAAGCAATTGTAATTGTTAGAAAAAGTTCTTACAAAAGCGTGTGGTTTAAGTTTTTTTTCTATAAAAAGTCTCAATAATAAAGATTTATTTCAAAAACAACAATAGCACCAAAGAAAAATTTTATTTAACATAAACAAAACAATCAAATCCGTTTTCTATTGGGTTGGTGAATTGAAAACTGCGGGCTATTGTCATATGTGACAGTTTGAGCACTTTCTTCAAAAGAAACCCTTTTTGGTGTCAATGGAAAAGTTGTAGAGAATCAAAAATCAAGCTTATATCCAAATTTCCAAAAAGATACACTTAGTAGTTTCGCTTAAAATTTGGGTTCTGTGTGTTCTTTGTGCGGCTGCTAATCGCTCGTCGTCTGACGCAGGGCTTTTACATAACCCCCTTCCCTCTCTACTCTCCAATCTCTTCTGACCGTTTCCAAATCCTCAAATTCGACATTGACTTCTCCGCAAATCAAGGCTAATCTCAATCTAGTTGGTGAATTTTTAAACTACCGGTTATTGTCATATGTGACAGTTTGAGCACTTTCTTCAAAAGGAACCCATTTTGGTGTCAATGGAAAAGTTGTAGAGAATCAAAAATCAAGCTTCCAAATTTTCAGAACGATTCAAAAACTGGTTTTCAAGAAATGCCAAATTTACGAATTTTCACAAAATTTTCATTTTAAGCGAAATTACTAAGTGTACCTTTTTGGAAATTTGGCTATAAGCCTAATTTTTGATTCTCTACAACTTTTCTATTGACACCAAAATGGGTTTCTTCTGAAGAAAGTGCTCAAATGCTCAAACTGGGACATCTCCAGTCCTCGATTTTTGAGTCTCACACTTGTCTCACACACAAAACAAAATCCTACTACGAAAGAGGAATCCGCAAATTGGCTGTAAAATAGGCAGAAGTCGTCAATAATAATGGAAATTATTTGGAATGAATTGATGGTTTTATGTTGAATAAATTTTAGTTCAAAGTCCGGCAGTTTTCAATTCACCAACCAAATAAAAAAAATTCTAGTTTTAAATTGCTCAATGAATTAGAAATAAAAGTATAATAAATAGAAATAATAATCAATAAATTAGAGGTTTTAGTTCAAAGTCCCGCAGTTTTCAATCCACCAACCCAATAAAACGTTTTTGACTCGTCTTTCGATATCTTTCTGAACCAAAATCAAACCAAAAGTAAATTGGATAAAAAAAATAGAGACAAGATTACGGTAGAAAGGGAAAATGTTTTAGAAAGCGCATGACTCGAGACGAATGAAATGAACGGAAATCAAGTGAAATCTGAACTGAAATCATTTCCGACTTTTTCTTCTAACAGATTTCTCCATTTTTTGTTCTCTGCAATAACAAAATGGCCTTAAATCTGGCAATGAACTCGCCACACAATCACCCGCTTTTTTATAAGAGTTCAATCGGAGAATGTCACCGTTTCTCTGGAGATCACCGTTGTTCACAAGCTTCAGCACCTAGACTAAGCAATTGATTTCAAGTTTTGCAAGTTTTACAAGCTTTGCAAGCTTTGAGATTTTTGATTTTGATTAAAACTGTTCTTCTAGTTTTTTCAGGATCAGAAACTATGCCAGAAGCCAGGTTTAAGTTGCTTTCTGACAGGCCTGGCTTTTCTGACAGGACACGAACAATAACACAACTTGCCTGCAGCTAGGCCTGGATCTGGAACCCAGATTCTGGGTCCTAGAATCCAGCCCTGAAGCGGCCTGGCTTGGGGATTGGGTTGCAACCCTGCAATTGGGTATCACATCTATTTGCACTTGCTTTTTGATCTGATCCTGATCCAAAGATCCTAATTGCTTCTTCTAGTTGTAGCTTAACGAAAAGACTTTCTAATAAGAGATTATCATTCCCTTGGCCTTACAAGACTTAGTAAACTGACTTCTGATCCGGAGCTGACTCCCTGTAAACCCTTGTTTCTTAGAATTCTACACTTACCGTACTAAATTTCCCTCCACTAGGCGCTGCCTTCACCGAGATCTCATATATTCTCGTTTTCTCCACTGGTGCAAAAGCATTCAAAGAAATTAACTACAAATTTTCTGCATTAATTCAGAAACCCTTTTCAACTTTCTCCAACGTCAACGGCGTGCAAAGTTTTGTCACATTAAACTCAACGAAAATCTCGTTGATCTCATCGATCACAAATTGTGCCATTCTATGACCAACTTCTTCATCTCTAGATAGTTATTAGATTTCAAAAAACCACCAAAAACAGACTCAATTTTCTCCTTTCGATATTCACATAAACAATACGATGCATCAACGGGCACATTTCGACAATTTCGATGTGAGAAAGGGCCAAGTGGACGCAGAATTGAGGTGCCATTGTTGATTTTCGATTCGTCCATTGGAATAAACGAGAAATCAGTGTAATTCGATTGGGGTGAGTACTGAGAAAATGAAGGAATTTCATTGTGAGAAGATTGTCAGAAGATTTACCTTCAAAATATCGAGAAGTGTGGCGAAAACATCGTATTGAGTGAGGAGTTTTAATGAGTTTTCTCGGAGATTCGACATTAACTCAAAGAAAATTGAGAATATTGGTATTAGAACAAGAACTAACTGCTAAATATTAGTACAGTAGGAAAGCTTTAGATCAAACTGGTCAGCTTTAGATCAAGCTTTAGATCAGATCAACAATTTTTGAGTAAGGTTGGGCAAATGAAAAGAGTTGAGTGTGCTTTGGGTGTGTTTTGGACAGAAATCTACTCAAAATTCACCTACCGTAAATACTGTAATAGTACCCCACTCCCCCCGTACCGTCGCGTAGTCGCAAAAGTTTTTTAGTATTTCATTTTTTTCAAAGCGCCCGTACTTTCAAAAAATGCGTCTTTGGTATCAAAAAATAGCTCTGAATTTCAGCTATTTTTTGATAACTAAACGCGCATTGTAGCATAAACCAGTGTCGAGAAAAACTCGTTCAAAGCTAGACTACGCAACATGCCGCACCGTCATTATGGGGGTGGGGTACTATTACAGTATTTACGGTAGGTATTTGTGTGTCGACTATTCGATACCAAGATTAAATTTAGAATCAAAATCAAAATCAATGCCTAGAATGAATTGTGAATTTGTGAAACAAACTTTTTGTATTGCCACTTTTGGTTACAAGGCATTTAGTTCATTAATTGAATATCTTTAACGCTGTTTCCTCTATTTTAAGTCTTTGCTGCCAGAATTTCCTTTCTATTTTTCGTTTCATTAAAAGGAAATACACTTCTTTGCTAAGTTGATTAGTTGCTAAAATTATACATGAATCTGGGAAGAAGTTTATCGATTGTGATCAGATATTATTAAGGTATTAATCAGTCAAAAAGCAGATATCAATTAAGGAGAAAGCATCTCCGCCCGGGTAAAAGATTCAAGAGGAAACAGTCCTCGTAAAGACCAATTTTTATTCACTATAGTATTCATACAGTTTATATACAACTTTAGATCAAAATGTAATCTAAACCTGTTCATTGCTTCGCAACCATTTTGGGACGGTGATGTGCAGAAGCGGGTTTTTCAGCTCCCGTTTCCCGAGCGTAGTGTAGACAAGCTGGAATTTTAACTTTAAACATTGGTAGTTAACTTTCCTACCGTAATATTTATAAGAATTTTAAAAAGCGCTAAAGATAATGCCATAAAAAGTCACCGATCCATATCGAGGTCCGTGATCGGCTGCGAAGAAAATGAAAGCGTTTTCCAATTTTTCTTGGTTTGAACGAAAGAATTGCTGAAAGGATTGTTCTGGTCGGGTTCTAGGTTTTGTTCTTGGCCAGAGCCTGGTCTTGTTCTTGGCCAGAGCCAAGCCTGGTCCTGTTCTTGGACAGAGCCAAGCCTGGTCTTGTTCTTGGACAGGGCCAAGCTTGGTCTTGTTCTTGGCCAGAGCCTAGCCTGGTCTTGTTCTTGGACAGAGCCCAGCCTGGTCTTGTTCTTGGACAGAGCCAAGCCTAGTCTTGTTCTTGACCTAGTATTGTTCAAAGGTGATTTGATTTGTGGAACAGTTTAGGATCTGGGCCCGGTTTTGCCAACTGCTAAGTTTAGCAAAATTGCTGCCTCATTTAGCGTTTAGCAAATCTAGCAGATGATAAATTAGTAAATGCTGGATACTAATGCTAAATAGTTTAGTGAAACAGGGCCCTCCTCAGCCAGGCCAAGTTCCCCAAACCAGGCCATGATCAGGGTAAGCAGATCAGAAGACAGCCCAGGTCAAGCTTTGGACAATTTCTATAGATCCACTTAAAAATTAAAGAGTTTACAAGATCGCTCCATTTCCAAACCTCATACGTTGCATCCGAATGAAAGAGCAAATTCGGATCATCATGCCCGATCTCGCTGACCCAATTCGTTACAAATTTGTTTTTGCCTAGAAAATCTGAGATCAAAGATGGTCGCATTGATTTGTCACCTGGATAACTGTGAATGAAGTTCTCAATGAATTTCAATTGCATCGAATACCTTTCAAAGCAATTGCCTCTTCCCATGAATTTTCGCAGTTGTTCGTTCGTTCTTCCAATGAATGTCAAAGTACTGAAATGATATAAATAGAAGTGAAATAAAAGTTAAACCAATTGAAATTCATATTCAAATTTATCAATTATTAAACTCTGTTCAAATTTCTTAAAGTTTAAGAGATCAATTTCAAGTTTTAAAGATTTGAAATGAAAAGATAATGAAAGATTTCTTATTTCAAAATGCTAAAAATGGAAAAGGAAGCTTCAATAAACCGTAGTCAACATTTTTGTATCAATTTTTAATAAGTTTTCGAATTTCTTTCACCTATACATATGATTTGCCTCCTGTTTCTCGAAACCGAAACAATCGGGATACGTGAAAACGCTGCCCGCTCCGTAATCATCACTGAACAGTGTTCGATAGCCTAAACAATTGAATTAAACATTGAAAAGCAAACAAATCTCTTCACCAATCTTCTCGAATTCTTTAAAGATCACGAAATCGTTGTCATGATAAGATTTGCAAACGTGAGTCATATTATGCACTGGCTCGAGATCAACACCGCCCATCGCCTCTCTACGCAAGTATTTGATACGTTTACCTAAAGCTGCCACCGGTTTTCTAAAAGAAACCTATTTTAAGCAAACTACCGTAATCAAACTATCGCAATCAAACTACCGTAATCAAACTGCCCGCTTTTCACTTGATCAGCTCAATTTTGGAATGATTGAAGAATCACAAGGCTGATAGCAATGAGAGCAAAATTAGTCTGATCGCATGTAAACTAGCGATCAGATTACAGGGTTTTCTAAAACCTAAGGGGCACTTGATGCATTTGTATCAATTTGAATTAAGCTTTCAACGTACCAAGCAACATGGCGAAACCATTTGGGCGAGAGTTCTCCCCAACTTTATTCAAATGATGCATATGCATTCCGCCCATTTGAGTTTCCAAAAAGCTCAGAGTTCTCGGAAGACTTCTAAAATTGTCTTTGACTCAATGTTTTTCAGTTCTTATCTTCAACAGTTCACGTTTTTGATTGAGGACAGACAGACGGACAGATAGACAGATAGACAGACGAACAGACAGACGGACAGACAGACAGACAGACGAACCGACAGACAGACGGACAGACGAACAGGCAGACAGACAGACAGGCAGACAGACGAACAGGCAGACAGACAGGCAGACAGACGAACAGGCAGACAGACAGACAGACAGACAGACGAACCGACAGACAGACGGCGACAGACAGACAGACAGACAGACGAACCGAGAGACAGACAGACAGACGAACGGGCAGACAGACAAACAGACATATAGAAGATGTTTTCGGGTTAAATCTAGCTCGAAACTCAGTGGTTGAACTTTTGCAAGTACAAAAAAAGGCAACAGTTATAAGAAAAGCAAACTTATGTAGAACTAAGCTTCACAATGAAAGTAACCAGAGCAGAGTAAACAGTCAGATTCGTAATGTTCAAGTAACATAGATTTATTTAAGCAAAGTGCTTCGGTGCTTTTGAGTCGACTCCACCTTCTTGCTTGCGTGGAAGCGACCGAGTCGAGCACAAACAAATACACATCGGGCATCGTTGCGTTTGGTGGTGAAGAGACTTTGGGAACGGTGCTGTAGAGTTGTAGAGTTGAGTGACGTCGTTGCTTTTGCAATCAAACTCCAAACCTTTTCCCCGTTTCCACAATCTGCATATGCACAAAGCTGTCCACGATTTCCCCATCAACATCTCGACATTCTGTGTGCACGAAATCACAATCGAAATCGCTCTCATCGTCTTTTGAGATCTCGGTCCAATTTCTCGGGATCGATCTCGTGGAATGCAAGTAGTCATAGCATCTGGAATGTGGCTTGAGATTGTAAATTACAGTCTTTAGATCATTTGAGCCTTTAGATCTAGATCTGGTGCGTTTATGAGAGCACAAAGTACCTGGCTTTACACCGCAATCCATCAATTTGATTGTCTTTAATCGAAATCCTTCGATTCTCCAAGTTTGTCATCGGTTTATATTCTCTATTACAGCCTTCGATTGGATTTTTATATCTAAATTTTTCATATCTAAGTAGCTAAACGTATTTACTTTATTGTCATGCCAATCTCCTTGTGGAAAGGATCGTAGACTGTTAATGGACATGTATCAAAGAGATCGATGTTTTCTAAAGATTGACTTTGTACTTTGTCCTTGAAAACACATCCTTTCTAGCGCACCACATTATTCACTTGTTTAGGCTTTTGTGGACAAGAAAACAAAAGAACTAGTGCGCCAGAAGGATGCGTTTATAATCCAATCGGCATTACAATTTTAAGCACCAGCTTTTTGTGGACAAGAAAACCCTCCCAGTTGCCTCCGAGTGTACTTTGTACACGTAAACGCACTCTTTCTGCTGCACGCAATTGTCTAATTTTCTTTATGACACTAGAAATGAAGAATTGAAGCCAGAAGGGATGCGTTTACAGATTTAACCTCAAAGAACAAAGGTTTACCTTCGAGCCAAAGACTTCTTTGAGAGAATTTTGGGAGATGGTTATCATAAAGAATATAAATCAATATTGAAAACCCTAGAAAAAAATAGAGCACAAAATTGCGAAACATTAAATTTCAAATATGAAATTGAAATGGAATCTTTCGACTCGAAAAGCCTTTGAAGGCATTTTTCAAATTCCGGATGTTGACCGGTGGATCAACGCTTTGAGAGAAAGGGAAAATTTGAACAGATGCAGGGGAAAAGATGATCACTCAATAGAAGAAATATCAATTTAGCTGAAATTTTAGCTTTAAACATTGGTAGTTAACTTTCCTAGTTAACTTTAATATTTATAAAAGTTTTAGAAAGCGCTAAAGATAATGCCTTAAAAAGTCACCGATCCATATCGAGGTCCGTGATCGGCTGCGAAGAAAATGAAAGCGTTTTCCAATTTTTCTTGGTTTGAACGAAAGAATTGCTGAAAGGATTGTTCTGGTCGGGTTCTAGGTTTTGTTCTTGGCCGGAGCCTAGCCTGGTCTTGTTCTTGGCCAGAGCCAAGCCTGGTCCTGTTCCTGGACAGAGCCAAGCTTGGTCTTGTTCTTCGCCAGAGCCAAGCCTGGTCTTGTTCTTGGCCAGAGCCTAGCCTGGTCTTGTTCTTGGCCAGAGCCAAGCCTGGTCCTGTTCCTGGACAGAGCCAAGCTTGGTCTTGTTCTTCGCCAGAGCCAAGCCTGGTCTTGTTCTTGGCCAGAGCCTAGCCTGGTCTTGTTCTTGGCCAGAGCCTAGCCTGGTCTTGTTCTTGGCCAGAGCAAAGTCTGGTCTTGTTCTTGGCCAGAGCCTAGCCTGGTCTTGTTCTTGGCCAGAGCCTAGCCTGGTCTTGTTCTTGGCCAGAGCAAAGCCTGGTCTTGTTCTTGGACAGAGCTTTTGAAGGCATTTTTCAAATTCCGGATGTTGATTGTTGACTGATGGATCAACGCTTTGAGAGAAAGGGAAAATTTGAACAGATGCACAGGAAAAGATGGTCGCTCAATAGAACAAATAACAAAAAGACAATAAAAAGATTTGCATATTTCAATATTTCATTCAATCTTTTTAGCTATAGTCAATAGCTTTTGAATGATTTGAAATTCGTGCTTGATCGGAGTATTGGCAATCCAACTTTAAGCTCTGATTTCTTGGGGTTGAGCTGTCCAATTTAGGAATGATTGATATCGCTAGATGCACCTAGTCTTTCTCTATCGATTGCTATAAAAACTAGTTAAAATGAAGAGCCCAACATGAAGATATTTGAGTTCAAAGTTAGATTGAGAATGGGAAAAGGGGCGAGGCGTTCAAATGTTTCAAAATACAAATTTTTTGACAATATTTCCTTGTAAATTTGTTAGTATTTTTGCTACAAATTCTAGAACTTGTCAAATCATTGCTTTGCTTAAACAAGCATTCGAACTGAAGGAATAAATGACTGACTGAGAGACTGAAAAACTGAGAGAATCCAACTCTGTTTTATCTCTCGATTTTATTAGAACTGCATGTTTCAATCAGCCTTTATTTAGTATCATTTAAAAGCTTAAAAGATCTTCTTTAAAACTATATAAAAATTGGTTTCACGATTTTCTTGCTGCCCCTACGGACCGAAATCCTTGGGATGAATCCGCCGATGAAATGAAGCTTTGGCTCCATTCAGACTATCGGTTTAAAAGTAAATATAACCCGGTAAACCCTGTAGAGACTATTCTTTTATACAAACCACTTTTATATAAAGTACAAGTTTTTTGAAAAACTGAAGCTTTTTCAAAGACTTCAAAGTTCTGCAACTTTTCCATAAGTCCCTTCCCTTTTTCGTCCAGCTCTTGGCCAGCTCTTGAATTGAGAACATTACCGCCGGAGCTTTGTTTATTGTTTTTGAATTTTTGAAAGAAAATGCCGCCAATTAAAGTTATATGAAACTAACATAAAAGAACTCTTTTTGTTTATTCGTCTTCTAGAGCTCCTGTTTTTCGAAAAAGGCCATTTAGGCCATTTCAGGCCACAAACGGTCATTTTAGGCCTTCGATTTTAGGCCAACATCATCTCTGGTATTTTCCAATCCTTGAGCCCGTTTACTTGTTTGGTTTCATGAGTTTCTTGCTGCCCCTACGGACCGAAATCCTTGGGATGAATCCAAAAATTCACAGCGGCTCCCTTCAGCACCCTTTTACAGGCACTTGGGATCCCATCTCGACCGACGAAGAACTCGCCATAGTGGTCAAAATGAGCCGAAATTGGGTTGACCAATTCTACAGCCGAAGTTAGTTTTGGGAAGCGGTGACCACATGGGGCAGACAACGGATTGGCTACCGGATGACCCAAAATGGACGCTTCCGACTGGAGAAGTGAAAAGGGAACTATAACTGGAAAGATAGGATGCTAGAAAGAGCGCGATTGTGCTCGCGCACAAAGAACAACCAGGCTATCTTCTTTGTTGCATTTTAAAGTTCAAAAGCTTCAAATGTTTGAACAGAAAAATTGTACCCGGGGTTTTCGGGGTTGGGTAATCGATTGACAGTGTTAGTTTTCATGTTTTTCTTGTACAAAATCAATCTAGAATCATCATTTAAAAGCTTAAAAGATCGTCTTTAAAATTATATAAAAATTTAAAAACAATATTATCTTTAGATAAAGTTATGAGCTCTCAAAGGGTGTCTACTCATTCGATACTCCCTTTAATGGACTAGAGCCGTTTTTGTACTTTTTGTACTCAATCCATTGGAATAAGCGAGAAATCTCATCGATCTCGTTGATCTCATCGATCACAAATTGTGCCATTCTATGACCAAGTTCTTCATCTCTAGATAGTTATTAGATTTCAAAAAATCACCAAAAACAGACTCAATTTTCTCCTTTCGGTATTCACATAAACAATACGATGCATCAACGGGCACATTTCGACAATTTCGATGTGAGAATGGGCCAAGTGGACGCAGAATTGAGGTGCCATTGTTGATTTTTGACTCATCCATTGGAATAAACGAGAAATCAGTGTAATTCGATTGGGGTGAGTACTGAGAAATTGAAGGAATTTCATTGTGAGAAGATTGTCAGAAGATTTACCTTCAAAATATCGATGAAGTGTCGCAAAAACATCGTATTGAGTCAGGAGTTTTAATGAATTTTCTCGGAGATTCGACATTAACTGAAAGAAAATTGAGAATATTGGCATTAGAACAAGAACTAACAGTACAGTAGGAAAGCTTTAGCTCAAACTGATCAACTTTAGATCAAGCTTTAGATCAGATCAACAATCTAAACCTGTTCATTGCTTTGTAACCATTTTGGTATGGTGATGTACATCAGAAGCGGGGTTTTCAGTTCTCGTTAAGCAAATTTTGTTTTCGCAAGCTAAACGAGGATCTGATCTTCTAGATTGTGATAAAGATTTGGATTACTTGAAACTTTGTTGTTTGTTAAACTGTTATACTGTTCAGTTATACTTCATCTATATCTAAACCATTTCAAAATCGGATCTACCAGTCTTACCGAAGATCGTTCATTGACCCAATTCAACTAAACGCTCCAAATCTTGGTCCATGATCGGTCATAAAGAAAATAAACGCATTCTCAAGGTTCTTTCGATTCCCTTGAAAAAACTCCTGAACAATTTCCCTTCAAAAACTTTCAATCTCAAAATTCATACAGCCCATCGCCGTGAAAGAGAAAATTCGGCCTCGTGAGCAATCTCTGACAACCCAACCTAACTGATAACTTGTAATCTTTAGGCTAACATCGTCATTTGATTTTTACTTACGTGCCATTGTTGTTTGGCGTAGAATAAGGCGTGATAAGGCGTAGAATAGCAAGTAAAAGCCTGACTCGTCACAGGAAATTCCCTTCGCTTGATAAGACTCGAAAGATGTCAAAAAGAAATAACATGGAGATTATAAAAGTAATAAAAGTAATAAAAAGAAATGATTGCCCGAATATAAAGCATTGAATTTCAATTTCAATTTCAATTTCAATTGAATTTTGAAATACAGCAATAATCTGAATAATCTGTAGAATAAAGAAGGACAAATTTTTAAGCGAAATTTCGGCCGGTAAACACTCACTTTCTGGCACACTTCCTTCTTCGTTTTTAACAAGAAAATCTCGGTCTAGAAAAGATATATGAGAGGGATTTCTTTAGAATTTTTCGAGCAATCAAAAACGCTCAAAAAAAACATTCACATAAAGGGCGCGGAAAAAAGTATTTGTCGCCTTTAATTTAAAAGTTCAAACGAGATTTACAATTTGATAATAACAATCTACATTGTATTTCGACTTTCAAAGTAAAATTTCGTTTGCAAAATGCCATTTTCAAGAGCCAGAATGAAACTTTAGCGCATGGTTCTAAAAGAACACTCTAGAACACCTAGATCTCATCTAGATCTCGACTTCCAGGCATTGGATCAACTTACAGTTTGTTTCAAAAGAATCCTCATGAAATTTGGCTAGAGAAACGTATAATTTGTTTGAAGTAACCACCTGTAAGAACACCGAGAAAACCAGCGTCGAAGTTGACTGGCTTCTGCGGTTTTTTTTCTTAAGGAAAACCAGCACAAGCCGGGCAACTTTGACTGCTTATATCTCGAGGTACAAGCATCGGATTCAAAATATAGTCAAAAGTGTTAAAGTTGGCAAAAACAAGAAGTTTTCCCTTTTCATTTGTAGATTTCCCTAACCCAGTGATGGAAGGCGGCGCCCGGAGTCATGGGCTGGCCCGGGTCGATTGTACGAATAGCCCCGAGCAGCATAAAACCTTGAGGTTGACCGAAAGGATGTTCTGGAAAGACCCACAGTCTCCCGTGAGGGATACCGCTGAAGTTCGTGGAATCGCTACTATTACTAAACCTGGTATAAAATTGAGGAAATTATTTGGTTTTCCGGAATTCTTGAGCAAATTTTATTTTCATAATCACATTATTAATCTTTTAAAAGCCACAACAAGTTATGCTTTTCGAAACTCGATTCAAATTTTACCGTTTTTTGGCTGAAATTTGGAAAATCTACTAAAAGAGCTGTGTCTGTCTGTCTACTATTCACAATCTACTCTTCACAATAGCTCTTATTCTTATCTAATAGGTTGATGCATAAGTGTTTTTGTTCCTTTTCGTCTGCCGTTTCAAGCCAACAAATGCACCAATTAAACTACGGTTGATTTCATTAGAAAAACCAATTATTTTTCTGCAAAATAACATTAAAACGGGTTTAAAAATATTGAATGCCTGGATTTTCTTGAGAGTATGAAGTCGGGTAGTCAAAAAGGGCTAACTCGATGATGCGGTTTAGACACCTTAGCTAAAGAAAACCTATCTTCGTGTCAATAGATAAAAGATAGAGAAAAAAAAAGTTTGATATTTCGCCAAAATTTCAGAGAAATTCATTCAGCCAATTTTTCCGTAGAGTTTTTTATAGATTTTTACGAAAAAGGCGTTTTTCACTCTCGAATTTGCTTGAAAGTCAACCGAAATTCATTTAAAAAGATGCAAATTGAACAAAAAAACACTTTTTTTATAGAGCAAACTATAGATTAATTGGTGAATTTGTTACTTTTTAACAGAAGTACGAAAAAAACGAAAAGACTTATGCATCAACCTATTAATATGCCGATTTTCATCAAGATTTTCATCAAAAGATTTCAACTCTCACGACGATTATACTACACAAGCTTAAAAGCTCAACAATTGCTATTTTTTGCTGAAAACCACCGTTATCTCGTTTTAACTCCGTACCTTTAGCAAGTCACCGTACCTGCGTCGTTGTCGATGGTTTGAGTCGTTGTCGTTGTCGTCGTTGTCGACACTCCCGTGTTTTTGGTCTTCCAAGCTTTCGTCGCCCTCTGGAACCGTCTGTGCGCACTAATCCTTCGCACCCAACGAGCTGTTTCAAATGTCTTATCGTTAGTTTGACTTAGAATTCCATGTAGTTGCGAAACTTGTTTTTAAATTTTAAAAAAATCAGAGTGCCGACTCGGGGAAAAGTCGAACCCGGGTCGTGTGCGCGAGAGACAAATGCAGAGTCTCATTTGTCGTGAGAGACAAATGCGATCGCACTTTTGAGGAGCGAGGAATTCTAACTCAAAGCTTTTGAGGAGCGGAAAGTGGCCGGGCCGCATATGAGGTAAAAGAGTGATAAAAGGGCATGGCCGAGTGGTTAACGCTCACGTCTCTCAAGCGAACGGAAGAGAGATTCCCGAGCTCGACTCTCATCACCAATTCTTTTGCTTTTTGTTCCAAAAACAACAAGAATTTTGCCAGCAGCTTTACGTGTCAAGAAACAATGAGTTCAAGGTTGAAGGAAAGGTGAAAGAGAAGTGTTCAAAGGCGAAGCGCTGTCTAAAAGTTGTTTAGAGTCTAAAGTTAAACTAAACTAAACATTCTAAAGTACTAACTTTGGCAAATCAAGATCAGAATCAGGGCCAAGTTCTAGCCGGTCTTCTCTTAAGCTTGTATTCTATTCTTTTGTGATTCTATTCTTTTCTCTGATCCATTTCCAGAAGATCGATTTCTTTTCATCTATTTCCAGAAGCTCTATTTATCTTCTTACTATCAAATAGATACTATCAAACACTTAAAAATTGATTTTAGTTCTTTAACTTGTTAAAGTGCTAAAAGCAAAAATGTTTTGACAGTGAAAGGGGATTCGAACTTTGATAGTACAGTACTGGACAATGAAATATCATATTGGAAAAAAGATCGTCACTTTCGCGCGTCTGTAACTCCGTTATCTTTGAGTTTAAACTTTTAGTGTTATACATTTTCTGAAAGCTCTTTTCAAGGGCTACACAATGGTAATATTAATATTTAGAAAGACGGTAAAGACAAGGGAGTTAAGACAAGGGACTAACGAGACTGTTCCCTCTGGGAACAGTCATCGAAATGGGTAAAATTTAAACCCTTTAACGAGGATCAATGAGAGGGCAAGTCTGGTGCCAGCAGCCGCGGTAATTCCAGCTCTCAAAGTGTATGTCATTATTGCTGCGGTTAAAAAGCTCGTAGTTGGATCTGAGCCTTTGGATACGGTTCACCTCTGTGTGATACTGGATCCGGGGTTAAATTCGTCGGTTCTCCGGCGAGAGTTACTCTGAATAAATCAGAGTGCTCAAAACAAGCGTTTGGCGTATCGGTTCACCTCTGTGTGATACTGGATCGCGCGAAAGTGACGATCATTTTTCAAATATGATGTTACATTGTCCAGTAGTGTACATGCAAAATCTAGACTCCGCAAATCGAGCATCGAGCCCCTGGCCGTCCCTCTCACTTGCTAAACCATTGTCCAGTAGTGTATCTATTCGAATTCGACTTCCATAAACTATATCCCAGATTAGCTGCTTTTTTTCAATCAACTTTTCCAAAAAAACAGATCGATTTTGAATTAAAAACCGAGTAAAACAAATTCTCAATAAAAGATTTCCGAAAAGAATGCATCGTCTGAATCAATTCAACATTTATATGAAGAAAAATATTGTTTTTTGTATCTTTTCTTTGAAATATTTTGTGATAAATTTTGAAATTCAAACAGTTTCAGACTGAAAAAGCTTTTTGAAACGCTTCAACGCTTAAAATGATAAATTCTTTCACTTGCCCATGTTTCTCTCGTCACCTTTTGCCAAGTAAGATTTTGGATCAATCAGAATAGTTCTTGGTTTGGGAACTCTGAAATTCTTGGTTACAATCTTATTTTGGTGACCAGTATTTCTAAAATGTGAAAAGAGCGGCTGATCTTTATTCTTTCCATCTTTTGCCTTTCATTTTACATTTTTCTGGACACTTATTTTGTGGATCTTAAGACTTATGGGTACTGGTTACCAGGTGAGTTTAGAAAAATCGAATTTTTGCGTAAGATTGGGCAAATGAAAAGAGTTGAGTGTGCTTTGGGTGTGTTTTGGGCAGAGATCTCTTCAAAATGCACCTACCGTAAATACTGTAATAGTACCCCATCCCCCCCCGTACAGTCGCGTAGTCGTAAAAGTTTTTTAGTATTTCATTTTTTTCAAAGCGCCCATACTTTCAAAAAATGCGTCTTTGGTATCAAAAAATAGCTGAAATTCAAGGCTATTTTTTGATACCTAAACGAGCATCGTAGCATAAACCAATGTCGAGAAAAACGGGTCCAAAGCTAGACTACGCAACACTCCGCACCGTCATTAAGGGGGCTGGGGTGTATTACAGTATTTACAGTATATTTTGTGTACTTTGTACTCAAGAAGGTCGAATCTAGGAGGGCTAAACATACGGTGAGCTGTTTGAATGCAGCATAATAAGCAGCTGTTTGAATGCAAAACGCTCAGCATCGCCGAGAGAGTTTCAATTGCAATCAAATTAGGACTAAAGTTTAGCTAAAAGCTGGAGATCTTTTCCATTTCCCGGAGCATTAGCAGTGTAAAATTGTTGTCTTGAACGATCATGAAATGAGTGTTTCCAGAAAACGCGGATCTTTTCGACACATGTCCTTTAACAGTCTACGATCCATTCTACAAGGATATTGGGATGACGATTAGGTTGGTGTGGAGGAAAATGAATAAAGCTGGGTTTTCCATTAACATCTAGAAGCTCTTGAGGCACGATTTAGATACAAAAACCCGTTGACGGGTTGCAACAAGAAATATTCGCCGATGACAAAACTTGAGCACGGGTTTTTATCGATCAAAAAGAGCAATCTAAGCGATTTCACGTGTAGAGCAAGGTTGGCTTTAGTTAGAGTTGTCTTGAACGATCATGTTCAATCATTCAAGATCGAACTCTCTCCTATTTTTAGCTCACTTCAAATTCATTTATTTTCAGGTGTTACGACTACAAACATTCGACGAGATCAATCCCAAGAAATTGGACAGAAATCGAGGAGACTTTGCCAATGAAATTCGACTGTGATTTTGTTCACGCTGAGTGCATCGATGACCAGGAAATGATACTGGACAGCTATTTGCATACACAGATTGTGGAAAATGATAAAAGGTTTTGTGATTTGAAAGCATTTGAGCATTTGAGCTCTATAAACCGTAGCTTTCTTGTTTTAGTACGGTCACTCTATCAACGAATCTCCCAAATGCTAAAATGCCGGATGTTTATTTGATCATTATCGACTCTCTTTCATCAACGCAAGCAAGAAGGTGATTTGGAAAAATGACTGGGATTTATTGAATTTATGAAGTAAATGGACAGACATGCAACTTTGCATCTTCTAATAAGTGATACACCCATGCCAAAGCATCAAACTGTTTAGAAGACTTTGAAAATTAGTTGGAACTGGGGCGGATCGAAAAGTTGTGCAAAAACTTGCAAAAACTGGTCAAAAACCTCGCATCGGCGGGACTCGAACCCGCGACCCTTCGCTTACTAGCCGACGGTGCTAGCCATTACACAACAGACGGACCATTACACGGACTTGATCGTTACTCGAGAGGGGATTAAGTCATTGTTCTGAAGGTTTATTGAAATATAATTGAAATTGAAATACAAAAACATGTGGGTATGAATTGATCTATGAATTGAGCCAAGAATTGTTCCATGGATTGACCTATGGATTGAGTTCCATGAATTGTTCCATGAATTGAGCCATGAATTGAGCCAAGAATTGAGCCAAGAATTGAGCCATGAATTGTTCCATGGATTGACCTATGGATTGAGCCATGGTTTGATTGTTCCATGAATTGTGCCATGAATTGTGCCAAGAATTGATCCATGAATTCATCCTTAAATTGTTAAATCCATTTTTTAGAACACTTCCCCGAACACTGAGCTTTTTGGAGAGTGAAATGGGCGGAATGCATATGCATCATTTGAATAAAGTTGGAGAGAACTCTCGCCCAAATGGTTTTGCCATATTGATGAGTTGGTTTACTGGAAATTCGTGTATTAATTTGCCGAATAAGTACCGAATAAGTGCCGAAGAAATCTAAATAAGGGTTTAAAAATAACAAAACTCATCAATGCACGTAGAAACAATGAACATAAGAATGAACTCAGATTGGCGAATTCAATACATTCGTCGGCAAGCCTACGGGGGAACTGATCTGCACACGCTGTACAATCGGACAATGTACTGCGATACGTATCACGACGATGATTTCGTGATCTTTCGCGAATTCGAGAAAATCGGTATTCTAGGAAAAACGTAAAGACAAAGAAAAAGAAGGAATTCAGGCTACAAAACGATGTACAATGACGATTACTCATCGGGCAATGTTTTCACATGGCCGAATTGCAAAGGCTTCACAAAGCATGAAGCAAATCATGGTTTTCGGTTTGAGAATTCTGAAATTTTTGATATTAAACTAAACTTAAGCCCATTTATCTACGCCTGGGGACATCACAAACCCCTCCAAGAGCACGTGAACGCAAAAAATTGTCTGGAAAAATTCGCACTCCAACTGCAGTATATCTCGAAATTTGTCAACTCTTATAATGGTAGTGTTTAGAGTTCATATCTTGAAAAAAAAGCAGTTTAAGGAACGAATAAATTCGTGCTAGATTGGATGTCAGCGTTGAGCCATGACGATCCGAATGATCTCTTTCATGCGGATGAAGCCTATGAGGTGGATCGCTTTATAGAAAAGAATTATAAAAAAAACTTCATGTTATGATTTGAATCTTTGTAAAACTGTAAAATCTTTGAATCTTTGGTCAATTGAGCTTCTTTCCCAATCTTGATTCGATTCTTGAACACACACAGCGGACATTCGAGACAAGAAAAGAATGAAAAAGACAGTGCTGAGAGAAAAGAGAAAATCTCTTGAGATCTCTTTTGTGAGTGCTGCCAAATGAGGGATGCCAAATGCCAAAGTGCTGCCAAGTGTTCTTTCTATTGCATTTTTATGCTTTTCTCTTCTTTTCTCTTCTTTTTCATTCACTTGTCTTTAATGGAATCGAAATTGAGTGGATGAGAGCACAGCTTTGACAGCTTTGAACAGCTTTGACAGCTTTGAACAGCTTTGACAGCTTTGAACAGCTTTGACAGCTTTGAACAACTTTGACAGCTTTGAACAGCTTTGACAGCTTTGAACAGCTTTGACAGCTTTGAACAACTTTGACAGCTTTGAACAACTTTGACAGCTTTGAACAACTTTGACAGCTTTGAACAACTTTGACTTTCTTTGACAAAGCTTTGACTGAAAGTAAAGACTTTATGGTGTTAAAATGGATGATTGAAAAGAACAATCAAGATTTGTTCTCCATGACAAAACAGAAGAATATCCTTGATCTTTGAAGTCTTAAATATTACAGATCATTTTTTTATTTCATATATTGAGTTGATGGAAAAGTCCTTTCCGGTTTTTTGGGAGAGTACCTTAAATTTGTCCAATTTTGACGTTTTATAGGCTCATCCTAAAGCTGAATTCAAGATCTGATCGCGGATCGATTGATAAAAACTGTTTTGAGATATCTCGTTTTTAAAAGTTTTTACAGCTATTTTAGTAAAGGGCGGCAGAGCCAAAAAATGTCTGTTTCACGTTTCCTTAGTTTTCCGTGCAAAAGACCTAGGCTAAAAACATGTGTTTCGTGATCAGCGTCAAAAATAACCCCTAGGCACGCATTTTCAGAATCTTAGCAATAGAATTGTTTATGCTGAGATGCTTTTACTTTTTCCAAAGGAGCTCTGTAAAGCGAGATATCTGGCATCAAAGTTTAGGCCTTTTTGGGGTCTTTATAGGCCTTTCTCTCTTCCTTGAGAGCTAGTGGCGCAGTGGATAGTGTGCTTGTCGCTAGAATTCTTTGCCCGAGTTCAAGTTCTCGGTCTATTCACCGTATAGCCAAAAATGGAGGCTGGTCAGATTGAGCTCATTTGAGGGTCTGAAAAATGGACTGCAAAACTCCAATCAAAATTCTTTTGACACAGAAATGTAGGCAAGAATTCAGGCTTCAATTCTCTATATAACACTTAGGGTTTTTGAATTGATTGTGGCATGCAATCTGCTGAAACGGTGTAGCCGTCATTTTGGCTCATCTCAGATCTAAAGTTGAACTAATCAACCAGTGTACAGTGTTCTTCTTAACAAAGTTTAAGTGTACCAGAAAGGGTTTGTTTTAGGGCACAAAGTACTTTCTTTGAATAGCTTTAAGACTTGAAAGCAATCCGTTTAGAGTTTCTTCCGAACGAATCAGAAAAAGTTTGAGAATGCTTTCATCTTTTTCATGGGCGATCACGGGCCAAGATTTGGAGCGGTGAGTCCAATTAGAAGACTGAAGATCGTGCTTTTAAAGCTTTAAACTTTAAGAATTATCATTTAATATCATTTAGATTATTTAGATTATTTATATCATTTAGATCATTGAATTCAGGTTCCAAGGACAAAGCTGGGTCGACGAGAGCTGAAAAACCCGCTTCTGCACATCACTGTACCAAAATGGTTACAAAGCAATGAACAGGTTTAGATTGTTGATCTGATCTAAAGCTTGATCTAAAGCTGATCAGGTTGATCTTAAGCATCACTTTGATCTAAAGCTTGATCTAAAGCTGATCACTTTGATCTAAAGCTGACCAGTTTGAGCTAAAGCTTTCCTACTGTACTAATATTTAGCAGTTAGTGCTTGTTCTAATACGAATATTCTCAATTTTCTTTCAGTTAATGTCGAATCTCCGAGAAAATTCATTAAAACTCCTGACTCAATACGATGTTTTTGCGACACTTCTCGATATTTTGAAGGTAAATCTTCTGACAATCTTCTCACAATGAAATTCCTTCAATTTCTCAGTACTCACCCCAATCGAATTACACTGATTTCTCGTTTATTCCAATGGACGAATCGAAAATGAACAATGGCACCTCAATTCTGCGTCCACTTGGCCCATTCTCACATCGAAATTGTCGAAATATACCCACTGATGCAACGTATTGTTTATGTGAATATCGAAAGGAGAGAATCAGGTGTGTTAACGGGCATTTTCTAGCTATAGAAATGTTTCAGTGATTCGAAATTGCAGAAGGTTATGGGAAATCTTTTGGTGAATGCGATAAACAATGAGTTGATTGAGAAGAATTTGACGGCGTTGTGTAGACAACTCGAGTTGGATAAGGTAAATGGAGGAGCCTTATAGTTATAGTTTTTGAGTCCTGTATTTTCTATTATTTACTTTAGTTTAATTTTATTGCTCTTATTGCTTTTTTATAATTTTCATATTTTAAGTCTTTCTGGTTATGGCTCAGATCAGAGCAGTCATTCGTCAGATCAATTATCTTATTCTATCGCTAGTCTTTTTCAGGTGATAGCTGCGAATTCCTATGTGCCGATCGAGAAGACTTTCCTCTACGAGATTGTGATTAAAACGAAGCCGGGTGGCGGAGAGTTCAGTAGTGTGAGTTTGCAAAGTTCAAGAGAGATTCAAGAGAGATTCAAGAGAGATGAAAGATAGAAAGCATATACCTTAATACAAGGTGTTCAATATTTCTGCGGATCAGTAGATTGCTAGGTTTCGAGCTCATTTTGTACAAATTTAATGCTGAAAAGGAAACACACTTATCAATAAGCCCAATGTGGACAACCTTAAGTTACTTTTTTCAGAATAATTACCTTTTGCACTGTTGCTTGCCTAGAAACGCTAGAAAGTCGGATAAATTGAGGTTATCACAAAAGCTTTCTTGAAATAACTCGTTAAGCTTTCTTGGAAGAACGAAAACTTGATTGAAAAATTGAAATGTGATTCTAACATTTTTAATTTAAAATGGTTGGGAAGAATTTATGGGTTGATTTTTGAGAAATCACCGTGCAAACTCTTTTCGAGAACTTTCTTTCCAATCTAATAGTTGTGAAATTGAAGAATTGCTCTCTAAACTCATCAAAAAGAAAACTGATCAAGCTTTCAGGTACTCAAATCCTCAAACTCAATCGATTTCGTGTTGAAGGGTGACATTCTACGAATTAATTCTTATGGAAAAGCGGGTGATTGTGTGGCGAGTAGTTTCTCTGAGATGCGTCCACTTTGCCTATGTTTCGATTATAAGCCACCACCAAAAAAGGGAAAGAATTGAAAGGAAAGCATTGAAGGGATAAGCTGAAAGGATAAGAGCTCTTTTCACTCTTTTAAATGAAGAAATGACTATAAGTTTGATAATTTGATATCTTCGATTCTTCATAATGTTCCAAAAAACTCGGCATTATGTTAAACGGTGCTATTTTTTTGGGCTTCTCTTAAGTTATGTTTTTCTGAAGCTTTCCACCGTAATCCTGTCTCTTTTTTTAACTAAATTTGTCTATTTTTAAACTCATTCTTTGTAGGATATCGAAAGATAGAAAAGTTAGTTAAAAATCACGAGACAAGATCACGGTAGTTAGTTGGAAATGTTTTAGAAAACTTTTGAAAAGAATCCCACTTTAAAAAGTCGATTATTGCTATGAATGTAAATGCAAATTTCACGTATGAAAATATATATATTCAACTAATGCAATTAAAAAGCAAACAAAGCAAACAAATCAAACAAATCAAACTCAGACTTCAGCTTTCAATCAAAAAATCAATCGAAAATATTGTCTTGATTATTTAGTTGGTGAATTGAAAACTGCGGGACTTTGAACTAAAATTTCTTCAACATAAAACCATCAATTCATTCCAAATAATTTCGACTTCTGCCCATTTTACAGCCAATTTGCCTGTAAAATAATTCCTCTTTCGTAGTAGGATTTTGGTTTGTGTGTGAGACAAGTGTGAGACTCAAAAATGGAGGACTGGAGATGTCCCAGTTTGAGCATTTGAGCACTTTCTTCAAAAGAAACCCATTTTGGTGTCAATAGAAAAGTTGTAGAGAATCAAAAATTAGGCTTATAGCCAAATTTCCAAAAAGATACATTTAGTAGATTCGCTTAAAATGCAAGTTGTGTGAGACTCAAGAATAGAGGACTGGAGATGTCCTAGTCCTCCATTTTTCGCTTTATTACTTTCGAGTCTTATCAAGTGAAGGGAATTTCCTGTGACGAGTCAGGCTTTTACTTGCTATTCTACGCTTTATCAAAACGATCAAACAACAATGGCACGTAAGTAAGAATGAAATGACGATCTTAGCCTAAAGATTACAAGTTATCAGTTAGGTTGGGTTGTCAGAGATTGCTCACGAGGCCGAGTTTTCTCTTTCACGGCGATGGGCTGTATGAATTTTGAGATTGAAAGTTTTTGAAGGGAAATTGTTCAGGAGCTTTTTCAAGGGAATCGAAAGAACCTTGAGAATGCGTTTATTTTCTTTATGACCGATCATGGACCAAGATTTGGAGCGTTTAGTTGAATCGGGTCAATGAACGGTCAGCGGTAAGACTGGTAGATCCGATTTTGAAATGGTTTAGAGATAGATGAAGTATAACTGAACAGTATGGTCACCCGGCTGCGATTAATACCCCCCCCTTTAATTTTGCCAATAATTTTGCTTGCTTGCTTCTCTTGCTTGGTCGATGCCTAAACCAGTGATGGAAGGCGGCGCCCGGAGCCATGAACTGGCCCGGGTCGATTGTACGAATAGCCCCGAGCAGCATAAAACCGAAAGGTTGACCGAAAGGATGTTGTGGAAAGACCCACCGTCTCCCGTGAGGGATACAGCTGAAATTCGTGGAATCGCTACTATTCCGCACTGCCACCCGTGGAGGGAGGCAGAATGGTCTGTTGCTCGTAACCGGATTACAATTATGCTCCCTTTGGGCTCCGGCTTCCGTCAGCTGTCCGCTACTCGACAGTCGTCTAGATGGCGCAAGTTTGGACACCCCATCGGAGGAACCGCGAGGTTCTTAAACCGACTGGGGATCAGATCAATCCCTTTTAGCATCAACAAAGTGTAACTTCGGAGCATTCTCCTCCTTACGTTGCCCACACCTTAGCAAGCTGAGCATTCTTGCTGCGGGAGTCGGTGCCATCGCCAAGGACCAGACGTGGACCTCGGATCCCAAGAGTCTTCGGACTACAGGGTGGCGGAGTGCCAAGTTCAGCCACCTCCTCGTGGTGCACTCTGGGCACTTCCTGGAAACAGGAAGTGGCGAGGAGCTGGACAAAAAAGGAAAAGAAAAGTTAAAAAGCTTTAAAAACTTTAAACTTTAAAGGTTTTCCAAAAGTTCGTTTCAGAAAAACGGCGTCAAATGGGCCTAGGGTTTGTTTGATGTGAAGTCAGTTTGAGGGAGCAAAAAGGAGTTTAAAACTTTTGGAATGTGATCTCAATTCCAGTTATCGTGGAAATTCGTGGCGATTGGCTGCTCAAATCGTGTCAAGAATGTGCCTTTAATTTGGAAATTACCTAATTAATGAAATTTCCTAATTAGCAAAGCAAAACGAAGCCAACTTTCCGTCGAAATTCGCGGTAAAATACGAAATCATATCAAAAAAAAGAGGTAGCATTTCACTTAAATACACGCTTTTTCTCTGGAATTCTCGGAAATTTTGTCAAATTTTTACTTTTAAAAGACAATAAATGAATACGGTATTTTGTCGACGCATTAGCTTTCCATCTTTTACAACAAGTTAGCCTATAGTTTGCATGTAAATTGATAAATTTTGCAAACGGTTAGCAGAGTCACAGGCCACTTCAATCTTCAATCTACCCAACTAGTAAGGTAGATCGAGTCAAAGTCAAACTCAAGTCAAACTCAAGAATTGTGCACAGTAATTGAGCGAAAGCTCAATTGAGCTTGAATTGTGATGTGTTTGCAATACTATGTAAGATTTTCTTTATAGCACTAAGACAAAGTTCACCACATTTTTGCCATTTCGAAGGGGAAACGGGGAAAAGCCAATCACACAACACAGTTCATGGAATGTATTCAATAAAGAAAGAAAAACTAGATCAATAAATAGATGAGCAGAGAATTTTGGGGGGAAATATTGCAAAGAACTAGAAAAACCCCTATAAAGTGTAGTACTGTTCCAATCATACCTTCTGGTATTTTGTCAAGACGTGGAAGATACTTTTCTTGTTCCGGAGTCGAGCGTCCTTCAAGGGCCGACTAAAATGTAATATAGAAAATGTTAGCCAGGAAAAACTAACCTGAGCTGCATCAGCCATCCTATCCGTGAAAAGCTTCACAAAGGGGTCGGTTGTTTCCCTTGGAAGGCCAAGGATTCCTTGACCACTCAGCAAGTTCTTGATAAATTTTGGATTATGGCAAAGAAAAAAGGAGGGGAAACTCGGAAATGATAATGCCAGTCAAGATAGCACCAGTTTAACGAAAAAAAAATGACAAAACTACCGTAATCCTAGAAAAAACGAAACAAAATGGAATACGGTGATGAATAAATAGAATTACAAGAGATTAGAAGAGATTATTTCTTCGAACAACGCTCTCGAAGATCGTCAACGATACTCGAGATCATTTGTTGATCGCCACTTTTGCCGTTGATTCCAATGGAATCACCCTGAAGATGTCTGATTACTTTTATTTCATACCGTCCGGTGTGTGCACTCCATCAAATCCTTTCCAAGAAGGGGACACCCCCGGCCCATCTCCAATCGGATCGCATTCACATCTGTCATCACTGGCTAGCAATGGGGATCTCAAAGCGGTAAGTGGTCATATTTTATATATAGTAGATTCCTGGGCCCGTAAGCTAGGCTAGGACCGAGCTAGGCTAGGACCGAGCTAGGCTAGGACCGAGCTAGGCTAGGACCGAGCTAGGCTAGGACCGAGCTAGGCTAGGACCGAGCTAAGAGAAAGGGGCAGGCTCAGTAGTACTTTTTGGTAGACCAGGTTAGACTTGAGTCTAGTTTTGGCCTAACTTGTAACCTCTGAACTGAGACAAGATCCATTTTCAAATGATGTACTTTTTCAGGACTATTCGATCTCGGTTTGTCCGGACGATCCATCGACTTGTTTAGTGAAGATCTCACTGAGCGTTGATTTGAATGGAATCACCCTGAAGTGTCGTTATTTTTACTACTGTAGTTTCTAAAGACTCGTAACGTGGGCCATTTTACTGGGAAATGGATAGTTGCTTGCCGAATGTATATTAGATATTGTTTGAAGCTAAAGAGATGCACTTTTTGCACGAAAACGGCTTCTAGCACACTACTGACCTTGCTTTCAGCACATCAATTCATTCATTTACCCAACTATGGTGTGCCAGGGACTATGTGTTTACGCTAACAATTCAAAGCTCTTATTCAAATCCCATTCAAAATTTGACCGTCTTTTTGACGAGAACGGCTACCGGTCGATTGTCGATATTTGTTGTTGCATAAAGGGAGGCTGCCCCGGAAACCTCTTCCACCACTAAAATTTAGTGTTTGGTACGAATATAGAATCACTTTTCAGTACTCACCTGTGAATCGTGCTTTTTGCGTGATTCTTTGCACGATTTGCTTGAAGGGAACGGGGCTTGAACATCGACTGAAGCAAGCATGTCGCTGAAGCAGACAAATCGATCTCGTCACTCGAGAGAAGAACTCTATAGGATTCTCTAAAAATGAAAAAAATATAATATTTTATTTGCTTTATATTCTTCAATTCTTTTGGTACTCACTTTCCGATCGTTGCCGGTAAAAGGAATGTGGTGGCCGGGATGGAGAGTTTGAAATCAAGTTTCTCCGAGTTCGAATTGTCTCCATCCTAAAGATTGTTTTTAGGGAACATCTACCGTAATACTTTTTAGAATACACTAGTCTTTTTAGAATACACTAGTCTAATAACCTTAGTTTCACTTTAATCAATTAGCTTACTTGAACAAAATATGTTGGCGTTAGCGATCCACGAATCTTTTGACTTAAAGCCGTCGACGCGACCGTGACTCTCAATGGGAGAATCGTGGAATCGTTTGGTGAAATCGATGAGACTTTGAGGGATGAATCCTTAAAGATTTCATTTCTTTTAATTCCTAAGCAAGTGTCGAATCTTCTCAACTTTTCCCCCACCCCATCTCCATCTTTAGCCATTCGTGCATTGAGTGTTTCACCGAGATTGATCTCGATTCCTTTCATTTCATTAGTGCCTTCATTGCTCAGTGAGATCTTCACTAAACAAGTCGATGGATCGTCCGGACAAACCGAGATCGAATAGTCCTGAA